TTCCTGCAAACTAAGCCAATTACTTCTTGTCCTAGCCTCAGTGGACATGGAGAACAATTGATCACCGTCCTCTTCATAACAATCTTTTACATATTTGAAGATTGTTATCAGGTCCCCCCTCAGCCTTATCCTCTCTAAACTTCACATGCCCAGTTCTTTCAACCTTTCATCACAGGTCAGGTTTTCTAAACCTTTTACCTTTTTTGTAGTTTTCCTCTGGTCTCTCCACATCTTTCTTAAGGTGTGGTACCCCAAACTGGACACAGTACTCAGCTGAGGTCTTACCAGTGCCAAGAGATGGGAGCAATTACCTCCCGTGTCTGACTCTTAATACACCCCAGAATGATGTTTGCCTTTTTCACAACTGCATCACACTGTTGACTCACATTCAGCCTGAGATCCACTATCACCCCAGATGCTTGTCTGCAGGACTACCACCTTGCCCATTATCCCCCATTTTGTCATTGCGCATTTGATGTTTCCTTCCTAAGGGAAGTACTTTGACCGTGTCTTTACTGAATTTCATCTAATTGATTTCAGCCCAATTCTCCAATTTTTCAAGGTCATTTGAATTCTAATCCTGTCCTCCAAAGTGCTTGCAACTCCTTCCAGCTTGGTGTCATCCATAAAATATTTAATCATACTCTCAACTCCAACATTTAAGTTGATGGAAATATTGAATAGCTCTGGACCTAGGACAGTCCCCTGTGGGACCTCACTAGATATTTCCTTCCTGTTTGACAGTGAACCATTGAAATTACTCTGAGTTTTTTCAACCCATTACACATCTAGACTGTCTGTTAAATTAGTAACAGAAGCATGCATTGAATTGGCCTGCAGGTAAATTTGTTTTACTTTGATTTTATTTTCTCATTTTTCTTCATGGCACATCCAAGTTCTAAGCAAGACTGGAAAGGAACATACCAAAGTACTACCAGAAAAGGTATTTTCACACTACTTCTAGCCCACTCAGACAAGGAAATCTCAGACCAAAGAGGCTCGGAGAAGCACCTAAATGGCAGGGCCACCATCTCCTGGCTTCTGGACAGCAATCCTATGTCTCCTCTTATGAGAGCTGCCCGCATCTTCTTAAATTTCTGAGCCTAGCTAGTTGCCTATCAGAGAGGCACTTCTAGCTGGGACTCTGAGACCACCTGAGATCTAAGCCAAAAAAACAGCTCCCCTCTTTTTCCTCTAACCTCCTATCAACTTGCAGCTTCTGCCTGGGGTTCAAGTGATTTGATTATTTTTGAGGGAGCCCTTAGCATCTGGGTGAATTTCACCCAGTCTGAAATGGCACGAGAGTCCCATTTTGCTTTATTGTACACTAATGGATTTTCAGTCCTCTTATAGGCTTGGTCTCTGTTGGGATCTTGCCTTGATTTCAGTAGTCACTGGTCAGCCACTGATGTAGCTTCCCCAGAACAAACCCCAAATGTAGACAAGAAAAGCTGGGATCTACCCGAGTGTCAGGGATAGTATCCACTGGTGCAAATCACAACTTTCCTGACTGCACTGGGGGTTTGCTTGGTGTGGGTACACTGGTGCTGGCCTTCGATCGCTGGAGTCAGAGCAAATTCCCACTGGCACGGCAGCTTCAGCCTGCTTATAGTGAAACTCAGGCTAACCATGGGCAGGCTCCAGCTGAGCTAATTCCATTGGAAAATGCATCACTTAACACTATAAGCCAGCAGTAGCCAACCGGAGCCTGAACAGGAGCCAGAATTTACCAATGTACATTTCCAAAGAGCCACAGTAATATATCAGCAGCACCTCTCCCCAGCCCCCAGAGCCTCCCACCCACTGGCAGCTCCACCAATCAGCGCCTCCCCCTCCTTCCCCGCACCTCCCAATCAGCTGTTTCGTAGCGTGCAGGAAACTCTGGGGGTGGGGGAGGAGCGAGGGCACGGCAGGCTCAGGGGAGGGAGTAGAAAGGGGTGGAGTGGGGGCAGGGCCTGTGGCAGAGCCAGGGGTTGAGCAGTGAGCACCCCCCGGCACGTTGGAAAGTTGGCACCTGAAGCTCCAACCCTGGAGTCGGTGCCTAGACAAGGAGCCACGTATTAACTTCTGAAGAGCCGCATGTGGCTCCGGAGCCACAGGTTGGCCACCCCTGCTATAAACTATGTGCTAAATGGTGCATTCCAAGGGGTTATCATTCCTTCCCCTCTTCTCTGGTTGATGTTGCCATTCTCCCATTGGTGGGAAGAGCTGAAGAAGAAACTCTGATCCCCCACGTCACAGAACCCATCAAAGAGTAAAGAAGACTCAGACCACATCTACACTATGGGGACTGTAGCAGCACAGCGATGGCACCATAGCTATGCAGCCATAACCTCTTAGTGTAGACATGGCCTACAGCGATGGAAAGGGTTTTTCCATCACTGTAGGATCATCACCTCCCCAAACGGTGGTAGCTAGGTCAATGGAAGCATTCTTCCATTGACCTACCTGCATCTACACTGGGGGTTAAGCTGGCATGGCTACATCTCTCAGGGGTGTGGATTTTTCACACACCTGAGCAATGTAACTATGTCAACCTAAAATTTAAGTGTAGACCAGGCTGCTGTTGCTGTAGTCTTCCCCCACTGGGAGTGGCCCTTTGTCCTATAGCTGCAGGAACTGAAGAGAACCTACGCCATCATTCCCAAAAGGAAGAGAAGGATCATTTTTGCTGCATAGGTCCTTTCCTGTTAGCGTGAAATTCCACTGGCTATATTTTCACCACCACTGAAATGCAGGTGTGTCTGGAGTAGAAGCAACCAGTACATAGCACTCCAAACAAGAGGGGGATGGGGATACTTTTCCCACCTACACCATGACAAACACCTCCTGTTACAAAACATGTCAAAGAAACTTTAGGGTGAGATTTTCCAAAGCGTGGTGTTGCCTCACTGATGACAATGGGAGCAGAATTAGGCCAATGCTGAGCACTTTTAAAAATCTCACTCACTTTAATTCCAACCAGAACAGATAGGGCCTATCTTTTATGGGGCTCATTCAAAAGTTAGTAACTACAGCCAGACAAGAGTAAACACAAAACAGAGTCCCAGTGTTGCATATGGATGCATTGCTGTGCTATTTTTTTTTTAAAACCATAACATTTTTAAAGTAGAGCTGGTTGGGAAATAAAACCTCCAAAATTTTCAATACAAAAAGGACTTTTTCCCCCCAGTTAGTAAAAAAAAAATCACAAAAGTATTGTGACAGTAAATATTCAGCTATTTCTTCTTTAAACATAAAAAGGATAACCATTATTTGAAGAAAAACCTGGTGTGTGTTCTCTCTTATTTTCATTTCAGTGTACAGTTTGCGCTGTGGGCTTTCCTATGAGGAATATAAGCGGTCATTAATAATGATCAGCAACTCTGTTCTCTTCCCATAAACATCTGCCTGGCCAGACAAGAATGTCTCTTAATATCACAAATCATTTATGGCCTCACAACACTTGTGCTCAGATGCTCTGGGTGAATCAGGTGACCAATCGTGTGGGAGAGAAGAAGAATGATTTCAAAATGCAGTTTGCATTCAAACAAGTCATTTTAAATGAAGCGAGGTTCATGTGGAGAGAAAGAATAACATTTAAGTGCATCAAAGGCAAAGCTGCTAGAACATTTTGGGCATATGTAATGGACACCATAACAAAATAAATGGTATGCTTTCCCATTCCTTTGTAATGATCCAGGCGAAAAAGGACAGCAATTTTAGAATTTATTTGAACACATGTACAGTGATACTGACCAACAGGTATGTCTTCTGAAAGGCTGAGAAGTGCCATGTTCCCATTAGTGCTGCTGGCTCCATTATCAAAGAAGTAGGGGGCATAATTTGCCTGAGCTGCAATTAAAACAAAGCAGAACCCAAAGAAAAGCGTTTCATAAACTGCAGTAAATTAGATTTCCTATCCTGCCTCTCTCTCTGTACAAAGAATGATGAGCCCTTTGGGAAATAATGTGAGTTTGCATGTAACACATCCAATTACACTCATGAACTTTTTACCTTTTAAATTTATATATACATACATACATACATACATACACACACACACACCCCTCTACCCCGATATAACGCTACCCGATATAACACGAATTCGGATATATCGCGGTAAAGCAGCGCTCCGGGGGTGCGGGGCTGCGTGCTCCAGTGGATCAAAGCAAGTTCAATATAATGCGGTTTCACCTATAATGCGGTAAGATTTTTTGGCTTCCGAGGACAGTGGTATATCGGGGTAGAGGTGTATATATGTTAAATTGCTCCTCTGTGGTGGTGTACCAATAGTTCATATAAATACTGCACAGCAGCATTTAAAGAATATGAGTAAGGGGGAAAAAAACTAAACAGGATATGTTTAAAGAGCCTCAAACATTCAGCAACTGCGTCTTGCAAAGTAACCTTCACAACCCTTCACCATTTATGTATACAGCTCTCATACACTCTGTGTGTGTATGCCTGACACCTGGCCAATGGCTAAGTAATAACCTAATCAATATTCTAAACATATTTTCAAATTACACCTACTGAATGAGCAATAAGCCATAATTAAATAGTTACTTACTTGCTGCCAGACAACAAAGTTAAAGAAAAAAAAAGAAAGCAAATTAGTTGTCATTCTAATCACTCATAGTTAAAAATCAAAATAGCCCATTTGAAACGAAATTGCAAAAATGGAAACAGGAGGAGGGGGTAACCTGCACAGTGATCAGTCTCTCAGGAAACAATTTCAGGACCACATTATCCCATCAGTAAGGATTACTGCAGGATATGCCATGTCCTCCTAGTTGTTTATTAACAAAGAGAAAGCCGTACTCACCCAGGCAAACATGCACCAAATTGAGAAATAAAGATGGGGCGAAATGCCTGACATGCTTCATCCCACTGAAGGAAAGGCTAATTTTTTCTCTGTTTCAAAGGTGTTTTGGTTTGTTTCTTTTCGTCTAAAGGGTCAGGCAACGTCTCCTTCAGACCTGTGCGGTGGTGAAATGTGCAAGAGACAGTAACAGATGTTAAGATGTTAAGCGGATGACACGTCTTAGTTTCTGAGGAATTTAAAGAAGCTCCTTCCTACCACCTAATTAGACCAATTACTTTGCAAGGAGCTGTGGGACTCATTTCTGATACAAGGTTGGGAGGAATCAACATCACTCTCACAGGGTCGGTCGGTTGTTTGCACTGTGCTCAGGTTGCCTAATGAACCACTCTTCACTGCTTGAATATAGAAGCCAGGTAAAGTTGAATTTTTTAAAATGTGTCTTATTCTCTAACTTACGCCTCTGCTTTCCAGAACTAAGAGGGGGTTTTATTTATTTTAGATTTTGGCCTCATTGAGAAACGAGGGAGTACGAACTCAAAACAAATGCACGGCACAGTAACCAGCAATACTTTAATATCAATACTTTAAAGGAGGCCAGTCATCAATTACAACAGAAAATATCATAGACAGAAGCCAGCGATGGTTTTTTTATTCTTGAGATGGCCTAAAGATTTGTTTTTTTAAATGTTTGGATTTCAGTTAAGTTTTTGATGCATATTTATAGCTGGTATATAACTTATAATTAACATCCTGAAACTTTTAAAAAAGTACTCCAAAGACAATATTAATGAAATAGTTTTTTTCCCCCCACTTTGTTTTCTGTTTCAGACAGTTAAAAGCGTATTTCATGCTACGCAAATATATCTATCTATTCAGTAAATTCAGGGGGGAAAAAAACCCACACTGGAAAGTGCATATAAACAAAACATAAGAGGAACTTGGCAAATGGTAATAGTTCCCAAACGGAGATGTTTCAGTGTTCTAGCTGTCAGCTTGATGCAGAATTCTTTCCCTTTAAGAATGCTCTAATGTACTTTAATGATGTTTTTGAATTTACAGAACACACACACACACACAAAACAACCCCCTCAGAAGTTAGTAATAAATTAACACAAGTGCTTTTTATTTTTGTCCAAGATTTTTTTTTAAATAAACCGTGTTGCTACTCAGGTGTGATCAAAGTTACTTTTTCTTCTGGCAGACATGACCTATGTACATTGGGACTGAATGTGAATTGGAAGCGTTGGTGAGATCAGTCCCATTTCCAGTGGACAGGTAGCCATGTCACCATACCCGTTATCACAACTGCACTAGCTAGGCACTCTTGCTAGCAGCTGTCAATAAAGGCAGAGAATACCAACTGATCCTGGAGAATGAAATAATCTCTCTTCCTAAAGGTGGTTCCCTCTAAAGCATGCCTCGTTTTCTGGATCCAAAGCACAGCACGTATGCACATGCTTACCTTCACTAGGATTACTCACAAACTTCCATGCTTTGCTGGATTGAAGCCATTGTCGATGGGAGCAGGACTGATCCTTGGTGGGAATAATTTGCCCTGTGCTGTCCATGTCCTAGAGGGCGCAACCATGCAGCAGCTGCAGACTGGATTCCAGTGGATGTACTTCATTTGTCAGCACTTTCATGATCATTCCATTCATTTTATTATGATTAACTAAGAATTTGGAACAAGCCTTTCTGTTCTGTCCAGCTGCCTTAGACAGGCAAAACCCCGAATCCTTGGCTTCAGTGGGACCTTTGCCTGAGTAAGGAGTGCAGGATGTGGTCCCATGAGTGGGTGAAAAGCACATGCATTATTTCTGAAACATATGAGAGCCATGGGCTCGGCCCAGCTTATCGCCTGGAACTTCCAGGCTTGGTTTAATGAACAAAGGGTTAAATAGCTCCCCCCACCCCCATGTGTGGGGGTTTGTTTTTTGTTTTTTGTTTTTTTTTGCAGAAGAAACAGGAAAATCTGCAAGTTGCTACTCACAGGGCCTGATCCAAAGCCCACTGAAGTCACTGGAAAGACTCCTATAGGATCAGACAGAGTTCCTTCCATATTGTTCTGTGGATAGAGGGTAGTAAGTGTTCCCCATCCCACTCAAGGAAGTAGCAAGGGATTTGGTCCACAAACACATAGATTTTGGGGGACCAGTCAGAAGTTATGGTCACCTCTACAGTGGTCTGAGCTGCTTCACAACCTCCTGACCCTCTCCCTTAAGCTTCTAGACAACTGGGAGCATGGATCCAGCTGGCAGCTGCTGCCCCTGATACCACCCTCAGGGGGAGTTTCAGAGTGCAGAGGGGAACAGTGAGGAAATGAATGCTGAGAGAGTCAGCACGGCCTTATTCTCGGATTTTCCATGGGGACAATTCCATGGACAAAACAGCTCCCTCTCTGCTCATGGAACCTGGTCAGTGGAACCTGCTCATGGAACTTGCAAAGTAGCCACTGGGGTATTCTGCTAGGTGGAAAGAAGGGGAGGATGGTGCTGAAGAGGCAGCCTGCCCCTCTTCCTGCTTGAATCCACCAGGTTTTCATCCTCTCTGACCACAGATGTGGAGGGGACAATCTAGCCCAATATACTTTATTTTATGCATTTTCCACAATACAAAGGGCACCACTAATTAGATACTGTTTTCTATACAGATAGCCACATGCAGTTCATCAGCCAGGGAAACAGAAGCCAGAGCAAAAACAGAGAACCCAGAAGAGAGACATCTTTGAACAAGATACACACTGTCCTCGAGCATTAAACCCCAACACAGGTTTCCTGGCCTGCAGGGAGAATCCCATTGGAACACATTGTGTTCCTGTACGGACACTCTTCCTGCAGGACAAGTGAACTGTAAGGCCTCAGCATGGTAAAAAGTACATTAAAATTAGTGGAGTATTATTAGCAAAGGCTCTGTGTAAATCTAGGATGCTGTTAACTTGTATCACTGATAGTAATTATCTTATTAACAATAACTATACTAAAACAACAGTGATAGTATAGCAACATATACAAAATGGCCTACGAGCGGGACCATGTGACTCCCAAGAGAGGAGAAGAAAGCCAGCCTGCCAGTCGCAGTGTGGTCTTCAGGCCTTTAAAATGCGAGACAAGGATCTCAAGGGAAGGACACAATGCCAGCATAAAGGAAAACATGCAGTGAGCTCTTTCTACAGGGTACATTAATAGCAAGAGTGGCAGGAGATTTTCCCTGCTGCTAGTGCCTGATTCTGCCTCACTGATGTCAGTGGGCGCATGAGCATTGATTTCAAGGGAACAGGATTAAGCCCTTAGTCTTTAGGGCTGGGATTTTCAAAGCAGCATGGCACCAAACTCCCACTCAATTTCAATAGATTTGTGCCCCTAACTCTCCTAGACTCATTTGGAAACCCTAGCCAATACCCTTTTTGTGGGTACACCTACATACTTACACCTGCCAGAACTGGCTGGAAAATGTGGAACGTTTTGAAATTTTGATGAAAAACCAGAAAAAAAGTCAAATATTTTTGCAAACTTTCTCCTCTCCCACCAATTATCCAACCATTTCTAATACCTACTGTATTCAGCTAACATTGCTGTGTGAGCACGTCCCATTCCAGGACCTCTGTGAACGCGGTCATGGCTAGTGCCCTGGAAGACAAATGAATAAAACAGAGGAAACAGGATGTAACATCGGTAACAGCTGCAGTCAACACTCCTGCAGTTGAACGAAAACCTCCACAAAGCCCCAGCCCATCTGAGCATAGTAAACACAAATGAAAACTCTTCTTATCAGGAGAGGCACAATAATACTCCCAAGAGTATCTCTGCAACAGCAGTTCCCATAATGGGGTCTAGGGAGACTCTTTCGGACAGTGGTCTGTTCCTAGAAGGGAGATGCACTAGAGTTCAGCGGGCAATGAACAAGTGCCCAGATTAGTCACCATCACCACAACAGGCACTAATTGCCACCTGCATTGGCAGTCTCAGCACAGAAGCCAAGGGCTGAATGGGTATGGAGATAAAGTATATTTTCAGCATCATATTATGGGTGGTCACTTCATGTCATAGCACATCACATTAGCCAGATGTTATGGAGAAGTCTGCCCATGCTGTACCTGTTCAGTAAGTAAATACAGGATTTTGCTTTCCTGGGTTGGCAATCTGGTCCCTTTCACATGCATTAAATTAACATATACATTTAAAAGAGAGACACAAACAATAAAAGAGAGTAGAGGGTATAGGCTTTCTGCTCTGCTTCACGTAAACTAGGTGTGGCCTTCAGTCTTCTGAAAGTTATTAATGTAGCCTTCACTTGGAGAAGGTTTAGACGTACACTTGCTCTAACCTCTGTGCCTTTTTATGAGTGAAAAGTTGTATATTCATATTAAATCATTCAAAATAAATAGCTTGAAACACCACCTTCTACATAAGCCTTCTCTTTCTGCACTGAATAAACATGACAGATCATCTCCTAGTGAAAACATCTAGAGGAAAAACTGCACCTTTTCTTCACTGTGTGTGTGTGCTAAAGTTAAATCAGCAGGTAAGTGCGCTCTGTGTTGTATTTAAAAATCTTAAGAATGAGTTGAGGCTCCACCCTGCATTTCCTGTCTGGGCCATGTGAAGGGGAGAAGAAGCTGTAATGGCCAAGCAGAGGTTCCTGGAGCCATTCTGCCTATGTGAGGCAGAATGGCACAGAGGAGCACAATCAGCAGTGCTGCATGCCAGTAGCTGGGAGGGAGGGGGATGGAACCTGACCTTTTCCTTGCGAAGCCACCAGGTTTATCAGGCATGCCCCTTCCTAGAGAATGAGAGGATAGCCATTTGGGAGATTCAAGGGGGGGGGGGGGGGGGCGGGGAAGTGAGGGGAGAACGGGTTGGGGGGGAGATGTGCCTCTCACATCCATGCAAGACAAGGCAGAATTATGCCCTATATGGCTCAGTTTGGTGTAGCTGCAAATGTATATCAAATGGTTCTTTGTTTTCAGAGGAATTGTGTATTGCATCTCACTAGCAACTCTCACAGAACTGCCTGAGTGTGAACTGTTCAAGCTGTTCTCCACATGTCACATCTGCAGCAGGAAGTGCTAAGGTACAGTAAGTGTGACAAATTTCACTTCAGTGGTTGCATGCAAGCTCCCATCTCACTACATGGCTAGACAATATTGCTTTTGATCTCAGTTGAACTGATTTAGCATACCCAGGGTTGATATGTAGTAAAAGCACAATCCACAAAAACAGCATAAAAAGTACTGGTCCCAAAAAACAACCAGCACCCAGTGTATCAATAGAGAGTTTTCAGAGTAGCAGCCGTGTTAGTCTGTATCCGCAAAAAGAAAAGGAGGACTTGTGGCACCTTAGAGACTAACCAATTTATTTGAGCATAAGCTTTCGTGAGCTACAGCTCACTTCATCCGATGCATTCTCTAAGGTGCCACTAGTACTCCTTTTCTTTTTGCGAATACAGACTAACACGGCTGCTACTCTGAAAACTTAGAGACTAACAAATGTATTTGAGCATAAGCTTTTGTGCATGCATCCGATGAAGTGAGCTGTAGCTCACGAAAGCTTATGCTCAAATAAATTTGTCAGTCTCTAAGGTGCCACAAGTACTCCTTTTCTAATAGAGAGTTTGATATCTGAGATAGAGCAATGTCACTCTGTCCCAAGATTCAAGGCTAGGGAGTAAAATGAGGGTGGTGCAAAACTAGGAGCATTTTTCAAGAATGTTTTGGGTGAACATTTTTATAATTTAACTGTGGGTGATTTTGCATCTGCTAAGTTTTGCATTTCTGCAACATTTTGCAAAATCTCCTTCCTCTCTTGAAACATGCAAAAATTGATTTTTGGACCAAAAGGAATTTCCAAATGTTGAAGTTTTTGCTCTAAAATAGGACCATTTTTAGGTGAACTTTTTAAAAAATTCTGTTTGCAAGGCAAAAATTCAGTCCAAAACTTGCATGTTTTTCACAAAACCTTACATTTTTGCAACATCACAAGAAAATAGAAACCCTTTAGAGGTAAAGATTTTACAATCTGATTATTTTCACTCAGCCCTAAGATAAACACAGAGGGGCCAATTGACCCCTGTGCTGCTACTTGAGCAGAAGCAGTTTGTGCCTTCCCTATTCTGAAGCTTTGGGGGTGAGTATGGCTGCAGACACAGGATAGAGAAGCTAAAAGGGATGCATTAAGTCATGCCGCTGCTGAGACACAGAATTGCTTGGGCAAGGGTGTGTCCCCAGCCACACACTGTCTTTCCCTTAGGGCTCTTGGATAAGAACATAAGAATGGCCATACTGGGTCAGGTTTCAGAGTAGCAGCCGTGTTTGTCTGTATCCACAAAAAGAACAGGAGTACTTGTGGCACTTTAGAGACTAACACATTTATTAGAGCATACTGGGTCAGACAAAGGTCCATTCAGCCTAGAACCTGTCTGCTGATGGTGGCCAATGCCGAGTGCCCCAGAGGGAGTGAACCTAACAGGTAACGATCAAGTGACCTCTCTCCTGCCATCCGTCTCCACCCTCTGACAAACAGAGGCTAGGGACACTATTCCTTATCCATCCTGGCTAATAGCTGTCATAAACATACAGCTAAGGGTATCATAAAATCCCTCCTTACCTGTAAAGGGTTAAGAAGCTCAGGTAACCTGGTTGGCACCTGACCAAAAGGACCAATAAGGGGAGAAGATACTTTCAAATCTGTGGGGGAAGGGTTTTGCGTTCTCTCTGGGTCAGGGAGGAATCGGGACAGGGAAAATACATCTCCCAAAGGCCTACTTGAACTAAGCATCTAGATTACAAAAATTGTAAGTAAAGCAAGGAAATGTGTTAGTTTATCTTTTGTTTTAGCTTGTGAATTTTCCCTGTGCTAGAGGGAGGTTTATCCCTGTTTTTTTGTAACGTTTAAGTTTTGCCAAAGAGGGAAAATCCTCTGTGTTTTGAATCTTATTGTCCTGTAAAATTACCTTCCATCCTGATTTTACAGAGGGGCTTCTTTTACTTTCTTTTCTTTATTATAAAGTTCTGTTTTTAAAGAATCTGATTGGGTTTTTAGTGTCCTACAAACCCAAGGGTCTGGTTTGTGCTCACCTTGTTTATTTTTCAAGCCTCCCCAGGAAAGGGGATGTAGGCTTGGGGGGATATTTTGTGGGAATAGGAACTCCAAGTGGTCCTTTCCCTGATTCTTTGTCTAAATCACTTGGTGGCAGCATACCTTGGTTCAAGGACAAATAGAGATTTGTGCCTTGGGGAAGTTTTTAACATAAGCTGGTAGAAATAAGCTTAGGGGGTCTTTCATGTGGGTCCCCACATCTCTACCCTAGAGTTCAGAGTGGGGAGGAAACCCTAACAATAGCCATTAATGGACTTAACCTCCATGAATTTATCTAGTTCTCTTTTAAACCCTGTTATAGCCCTAGCATTTTAGTTGCCCTTCTCTGAACTTTTTCTAATGCCAATATATCTTTTTTGAGATGAGGAGACCACATCTGTATGTAGTATTCAAGACGTGGGTGTACCATGGATATATATAAGGGCAATAAAATATTCTCGGTCTTATTCTCTATCCCTTTTTAAAGGATTCCTAACATCCTGTTTGCTTTTTTGACTGCCGCTGCACACTGTGTGGATGTCTTCAGAGGACTATCCACGATGACTCCAAGATCTCTTTCCTGATTAGTTGTAGCTAAATTAGCCCCCATCATATTGTATGTATAGTTGGGGTTATTTTTTCCAATGTGCTCTTACTTTACATTTATCCACATTATATACTAGCATTAGAAAAGGTTCAGAGAAGGGCAACTAAAATGATTAGGGGTTTAGAATGCGTTCCATACGAGGAGAGATTAAAGAGACTAGGACTTTTCAGCTTGGAAAAGAGGAGACTAAGGGGGGATATGATAGAGGTATATAAAATCATGAGTGGTGTGGAGAAAGTGAATAAGGAAAAGTTATTTACTTGTTCCCATAATATAAGAACCAGGGGCCACCAAATTAATTAATGGGCAGCAGGTTTAAAACAAATAAGAGGAAGTTCTTCTTCACACAGCGCACTGTCAACCTGTGGAACTCCTTGCCTGAGGAGGTTGTGAAGGCTAGGACTATAACAGGGTTTAAAAGAGAACTAGATAAATTCATGGAGGTTAAGTCCATTAATGACTATCAGCCAGGATGGGTAAAGAATGGTGTCCCTAGCCTCTGTTAGTCAGAGCGTGGAGATGGATGGCAGGAGAGAGATCACTTGATCATTACCTGTTAGGTTCACTCCCTCTGGGGCACCTGGCATTGGCTACTGTCAGTAGACAGGATACTGGGCTGGATGGACCTTTGGTCTGACCCAGTATGTCCTTTCTTATGTTCTTAAATTTCGTTTGCCATTTTGTTGCGCAATTACTTAGTTTTGTGAGATCTTTTTGAAGTTTTTCACAGTCTGCTTTGCTCTTAATTATCTTGAGCAGTTTAGTATCGTCTGCAAACTTTGCCACCTCACTGTTTACCCCTTTCTCCAGATCATTTATGAACAAGTTGAATAGGATTGGTCCTAGGACTTACCCTTGGGGAACACCACTAGTTACCCCTCTCCATTCTGAAAATTTACCATTTATTCCTACCCTTTGTTCCCTGTCTTTTAACCAGTTCTCAGTTCACGAAAGGATCTTCCCTTTTATCCCATAACAACTTAATTTACATAAGAGCCTTTGATGAGGGACCTTGTCAAAGGCTTTCTGGAAACCTAAGTATACTATATCCACTGGATCCCCCTTGTCCACATGTTTGTTGACCCCCTCAAAGAACTCTAATAGATTAGTAAGACATGATTTCCCTTTACAGAAACCATATTGGCTTTTGCCCAACAATTTATGTTCTTCTATGTGTCTGACAATCTTATTCTTTACTATTGTTTCAACTAATTTTCCTGGTACTGACGTTAGACTTACTGGTCTGTAATTGCTGGGATCACCTCTAGAGCCCTTTTTAAATATTGGTGTTAGATTAGCTATCTTCCAGTCACTGGGTACAGAAGCTGATTTAGGAGGACAGGTTACAAATCATAGTTAATAGTTCCGCAATTTCACATTTGAGTTCTTTCAGAACTCTTGGGTGAATGCCATCTGGTTCCAGGGACTTGTTACTGTTAAGTTTCTCAATTAATTCCAAAACCTCCTCTAGTGACACTTCAGTCTATGACAATTCCTCAGTTTTGTCACCTACAAAGGATGGCTCAGGTTTGAGAATCTCCCTAACATCCTCAGCCGTGAAGACTGAAGCAAATAATTCATTTAGTTTCTCCGTAATGACTTTGTTGTCTTTAAGTGCTCCTTTTGTATCTTGATGGTTCAGGGGCCTCACTGGATGCACCAGAGAGACAGAAAAAGAAAAGTTACTTGACTGACAGACTAGAGATTTTGGATTCAGAGTAGCAGCTGTGTTAGTCTGTATCCCTAAAAAGATTTTGGGTGCCTCAGTTTTTGGGTGCCCAACTTAAGACACCTTAAAGGGGCCTGATTTTCAAAAAAACCCAACAACCCTGAGCCCAAAATTCAGGCCTCAACCATCTCAAGTAGGGCAACCAAAACTGAGGCTCCCAAATTGTTAGTTACTTTGGAAATTCTTGGCTTTTTTGCTTTAGACAAAACAGAAAAAAACATGTTTTTGTCATGTACTGAAAATGCTTCAGGAAGGATACAGTTGATTATCTTCATCTCCAGATTTAACTAATGAAAGGGTCAGTTTCCCTCAGTACATGTGAGTTTTGAAGAGTGGGGGGTTGCTACTTCTCAGTATGCAGAAGGCACTGCTTTTCTTTTTAATAATTTCTTACTTACTCTCAGTTTTGGACCATCTGTGATTTTTTTACTGGCTCAACATATTGCATTTTGATCCATCTCTTCACTAATAAACTGTGTATAGTTTGTAAATAAAGGCAGCCGTACTTTGAAAATTCGCGACTTGAGGTTATGTTTTGGGCTAGTCAAAACCTTCCTGACTCTTAGGGCTGGTCAAAATTTTTCCATCAGAACTGTGTTTTGACAGAAAAAATGGATTTTAAACTAATCAAAGATTTTGGTGAAAAGTATCTACTGCCTGT